AATACAAAATGACAGAAAGAAAAAAGAACCAGCCATTGCTGGAATATGTTGTTTTAAAGTTAGTATATCCAAGAGAAAAGTGAAATTTTGACCTTTTCTTTAGGTGTTTCGGTGTTCTGATCAAATTATATGGGGGCATTTAGAAAACTCTATTATAAAAAAATAAATAAAAAAGGTGAAATGATCTTTGTTTATGTGTTTTGCCTCAATTTCGATTTTGATAACTATCTTTTTTGTTTTTTGTCGTTGTCAAAGTTGGGAAGGGGAATTTGAATGTGAGAAAGTTGCAGGCTGAGAGAGCTTCGAACTAAAATCTTGCACACAGCAAGAGCTTCAAACTAAAATATTGGGATTTATCCGATTTTAGCAGCAGAAACACTAATAAATGTACAGTGCCCAAAGACATTCCTTTATATAACTTATATCTCTCCATACTGTCAACAAATCCGCTGTAGCAATACTGACAAATGGATAATTGTAATCCGGGTTCGAATCCCGGCAGTGGAATGCTGTTTTATTTTTTATTTTTTTGAGTTGGGTTGTTTACTTGGGCGATAATATAAATGGGCTTGTTAGCTCACACTAAAAACAAAAAGAATTCTGAATTTTCTATTATAAAAATAAAATAAAAAGGTGAAATAATTTTTGGTTCATGTGTTTTGCCTTGATTTCAATTTTCATCACTCTCTTTTTGTTGTTTTTTTATAATTATTTTGTCAAAGTTAGGAAGGGGAATGGGGTTTTCTCATACATATTATCAATGTGTTGTGCGGGTTCAAACCTAAACCCACTCGTCTGCAAGTTAAGACCATTTTTTACTAAGCTAGACCTCATTGGTATCTTTTTGTTTTTCTGTATTTGATCATATTTTATCATTGTTCTATATTATTAAATTTTTTATTGAGCTAAAATAAAAGGACCCAAATAAAATCTGTTAAGCACATTTAAGTATACAATTATATATATATATATATATATAATTTTCTAGTTTAACTATAGAATTCCAGGCATGTCAAAAAGTTAATGGAGTAGTAGTCATCCCAAAGAAAGGGAGCCTAATTTTGTCGAAGTAGTTTGATAAGAACCTGAGAATCGCCTTCAATGAAGATATTAGTTATGTCTAATTGTTTTGCCCATAAGTCCATTTTTAAAACCCAAAACTTTTGCTTCCAATAGAGTTTATTCATAGGAGCATAAAATGAACAATCTTTTTTTTTTTTTTTGCGTCAGATAAAATCAACAATCCTAGTATGGCCATTTGATTCTCTAATAATAAAACCAGCAGCCACTATCCCATCTTAACGAATTGAAATTTTCGCTTTGGCTTATATTAGTCTTCCAAGATTTACCAAAAGTCATAAAGAAAATGCTTAACAATATAAATGGTAGAAATTGCATTAGGTTGCTTTGAAAATTAACGGCCAAAATAATTTTTGAGTTCAAAGCTCATAATTCGCATGTGATAAAGTCCAACTAACAAATAACTTTAAAAAAACCCAATTTAAAACAAAAGATAGAGAGAAATAGTAAAACATTCAAAATGCCAAATATTGCCCTTACGTTGAAACTTTTCATTAAATAAGCATAATATAGTAAATTAATATATTTTTCATATTAAAAAAATTTAAAATAAAAACATAAGGTCCTATTTTCTTGGGAGACAACTTCTCTTTTCTTTCTTTTTTTGGTTGGATTCTCTTTCTGAATTCTCAAATTAAAAAAAGCAAAAATAAAAAACCAATTGGCACCAAGGTAATATATATAAAAAACTAACTAACAAAATATATACATACATTAACCCAAAATAAATGCACAAAAGAAGCTGCTTATATAAATTATGTCTCTACACATTGTCAACAAATCCGCTGTAGCAATACTCACAAATGGATAATTGTAATCCAGGTTCGAATCCTGGCAGCGGAATTCCCTCTTCTTCTTCTTTTTTTCTTTATTTATTTATTTATTTATGTGTTGGGTTGTGTACTTGGGCCTTAATATAATAAATGGGCTTGGTAGCTCAAAAACTAAAAAGAATTCTGAATTTCTATTACCACCCTAAAATTTTCCAAAACAAAATGGTAGAAAGGAAAAAGAACCATCCATTGCAGGAAGAATAAGCTTAAGGTAAAACCTACAAAGAATTTTGAATTTTCTGTTAACACCCTTAAATTTACCAATCAAAGAAATGCAAAATGACAAAAAGAAAAAAGAACCAGCCATTGCAGGAATATGTTCTTTTTAAGTTAGTAAATCCAAGAGAAAAGTGAAAATTTGACATTCTTTTAGGTGTTTCGGTGTACTAATTAAATTATACGGGGGCATTTAGAAACTCTATTATAAAAAATTAAAAAAAAGTGAAATGATCTTTGGTTCATGTGTTTTGCCTCGATTTCAATTTTGATAACTATCTTTTTGTTTTTTTGTTAATTTCTTTTGTTGTTGTCAAAGTTAAGAAGGGAAATGAGTTTTTCTCACATACACACTGTCAAGGTGCCATGGGGCTCGAAACTAAAACCACTAATCTACAAGTCCATGTTCTTTTCAACTACGGTTGTCAACATCTTTTTGTTTTTCCCAATTTGATCATTTTGATCACTCTTTTTTATTATTAAAGTTTGTATTGAGCTTAAAAAAAAAAAGGACCCAAAGTAAAAAGAGTTATTTAGTCATATACCCATTCTTAGTATTAATGATATAGATAAACCCTACACCATTTAATTTCTATAAACAAACCCAAAAAATGACAGTTGACTCTATTGAATTTAATTTTAATTATTAAATTACTTTGATGTCCTATTAAGTGTTTAAAAAAAGAAGAAAAGTTTTTGGGTTGTGCTTGTTTTAAGAAATAATTTCGGATTCAAGTGCATATAGTTTTAGATTCAAGTATTTTTTGCCTATTTGATCTTTGAGGGAATATCTAAAAATTAGATCATTGAAAAATAATGTGTGGTGGGCCATACAAGGAATATATATATATATATATAATTTTTAAAAACTAAACACAATTAAAAACCATGCTTAATACAATAAGTTTGTTTAAATGATAAAGAACTAAGCACAATTGAAACTGTGCTCAATACAATTAGTTTTTTTTTTAAATAAAAAGAGAAAACATATTAATCTGTTTCCAACCAATTAACTTTTCCCAATTTCAGTTCTTACACATGAGTGCTCATTGTGCAACATTAGAACCACTGTAACTACCATTTTATTGGATTTCAATAAAAATCAACAATTTTTTATTTATTAAAAACGAATAATTTAATCAGAACCAAAAAATATTTTCTAGGTGGTAACTCTTCAATGATGATAACTTCAGTTTTTTGTGGAGAATAATTAACTGGACTTGAACCAACAGAAGAACTTTGCTTGGGACCCTTGTTACTAAACAAATTTTTTGAAATTTTCTTTCTTTCTGGAATCCATTGAAATTCCTCAATGTACATGTAAGATAACAAGAGGAGATGATTTTATTGGTAACTGGAAAGCACAAATAAGGTTTTGTGGTTATAATTTTTTTAATTAATATTTAAGCAAAAGGGCACAAAAAATATCTATATGATGGCTCACAAGACTTTTTTCAGAAATGTCAGCTAGTTGAGCACAATTATCTGTGCCTTATTAAATCATGTGATAAAAGTGTACTGACAACAAAGTGACAAGTATGGGAATTGAGCACGAAAGTTGTGCCTAAATTCACTTAGCACAATTATTTTCTTTTTCTGTTCAAGTTGGACACGAAACTATTGTGCTTTTTTTGCATATGACACAAATATTATATATATATATATGTGTCCAATGTGATTCAAAAGGGCACAACCCTATTTTTTGCCCGGTTTTTTTAATAGTGGAGAGAGAGAGAGAGTGAGAGAGAGAGAGATGAGTAATAAAAGTGAAAACAAAAATTTGAAAGTGAAAACAATTCCAAATAGATTTTAGTTTTTGTTTTCACTTTTGTTACTCCTTACACCCATATTCCCTTATCATCTTCCCTCTCAATCCCATCTTCACTCTCATTTTCACTTCCATTCTCCGTCTTTTTCCTCTATACTCTAGCACAAAAAAATGAAAATTAAAAACTAAAATTAAAATTATTATCAAACGGGCCCTTTATTTGGCCATTTGAGTCTCTAATGATAAAACCATCATCAACTGTCCCATCTTAACGAACTGAAATTTTCACTTCATCTTAGATTGTCTTCCAAGACCTATTGATTTGCCAAGAGCCATGAAGAAAATGCTTAACAATATAAATGGTAGATTCTTTGTCAGTGTGAGGGGCTTGTAGCTCAAGTGGTTAAAAGTATTATCCCTGAACTCAAGGTCCAAAGTTCGATTCCTCTCTCCTCTAATTTCACTTGTATAAAATAAAATAAAAAAGAATAATCCTTCGAGCAGAATCCAAATGTGATCCATTTGATATCAGTTACTTTATGATAGTTAAGGTTGAGCTTCTTTTTAAGTTTGTTTCTATAGCAGCTAGCTTCTTCTTTAACATGAGCAGAATCCAACTTGCGGTTAATATCACTTAAGATGCAAGACAGTGTTCCACATTGGGAGATGGAAACTTCGCAATAGTGCTTAAAACATATCTTGGACTTCTCCATTTATTGTCAATTAATTTTACGTTGGATGCTAATATTCTAATAGTTAACCCGGCTCAGATTCCTATTTGATTTGATCATGAATTTTTTTTTGGGAGTTTCACTAAAACACCCAAAATGGGAGTTGAAATTATAAAAAAACTCAAGCACTATTTAAACATATAAACACACCCAAAAAGTTGACTTTGGGGTTGATTTTGGGTGTGTTTCTATGTTTAAATAGTACTTGGGTTTTTTTATAAATACATGTCTAGGATTGGGTTTATTTATAAATTTGTATTTTTTTTTTCCATGGACCATGAAATTTAGAAAACAATTTTAAAAGGCAAAAAAGGGAAAGAAAAAAGGAACTTTACAATCCCAAAGCAAGATGGTCCTAGAATGAAGCCCAAATCATTGCGAAGCAGGCCCAAGGCTGAGATGCAAATTCAATCCCAGACGTTCATCTACGTTAATCCCACTCTCATCATCCGCACAACCGCGAAAACCCTGCACAAAACTAGCATGATTTCCAACCCCTTCTTGAGACGAAGCCCTCATCGTCAAACATTCCCCTATCCCGGCCTTGCGGTAGACATGCCTCCCTAATGGCGAGGGGCCAGTCCCGGAGAGAAATGCATAGCGGTCCAATATGTTTACAGGTGCATGTGCCATGTAAAGACATGAAGGGGATTGTGGGGGCGCCGCTGTCGGAACCATCATAGAGGCCAAGAGGTGTGAAGGTGAAATGAATGCCGATATGATCGGGTTTTGGACGTGTGAAGTAACCAAGTTTCGGCTGCTAGCATGCATTTGTGCACGCTTTAGGATTTGCCTTTCTTTCTTGTGAGCATTCTGGTGGCCTCCCAAAGCCTGGGAATTGCTAAACTCACGGCAGCAGTACGGACACTCATATTTACGGAGGTCGGATTCTTGTGACGCAGATGAAGATTTGGTTATATTTGAGTTGTAGTGATCTTCTGATATGTTGAAACCAAAGAGCTTAAGAGGTGTGGAAGCGGAAGTTATTGTGGAAATTGTATTTTGCTTTGTATCATAATCAATAATATCAGCCATCAAAGCTTGGTTTTGGAGATGAGATGAGAGAGATTAGGAGGATATACAAATGGAATTAATGGGTGACCTTATAATTGGTGGCAATAACTTGCATGTGTGAGCTATTTAAAAGCTGTGGATCGATGAAGTACAAGAGAGAGTAAAGACTTGAGAGTCAAAAGAAGTAGAGCAACAAAGGAAAGAGAGAGGTAGTTGTTGTGAAAATTCCCATGACAAAGAGTTAGAAGCAACATCATGGAGCAAGAAAACCAGGCCTTTAGATTATACTTGTACCATTTTCTTGTGGTGGTGGTTTTTTTTTTTTTTTTTTTTTTTTTGGGTACAATTCTCAAATGCGAAGTTACTTGCATGTAGATGATTTAGGTGCTAACTGAGGCATTTTTGTTCTTGGTGCGCTTCAAATCTAGCAGAGTCTTTTAGTTTGCCTACAATTGACCATGACCACATGGGTCGAAGCTGAGGTTGGTTCAGAATAATTGCACCTAACTTGGCTTATTTACACGAAGAAGAAAAAAAAACTTTTTTATCTGAAGCTGAGGAGGGTCCAGACGTGAGACCATGAGGTATATTTGGAAATCATTTGAAGCTCTTCTTTCTTAGAATCTTGCAATCATTTCAAGCGCGATTTGGGAAACAGCATACATTAAATCAAAATGTGGCTGTACTATTATACTTACATCCAGTCTGGTAACACAAATGCTTTTGTTTGAAGTGTGTAGTCAAAATTAAAACCTTGGCACACAAAGAGACATTATAGGCAATGGCGGAGCCAGAATTTCACATTAGACGGGGCCTTTCATAAACCTTGTATTCTCTTCAGAATTGTCATAAATTTCATATTTTAAGTTGGTTAAATAGTAATATCATCATCTACACTATTAAAGACTTAAATTTTGATAATTTATATTCCAAAAGAAAAGAGAAATAGAAAAAAAGAGTTCATAAAGTGCAATATTAAGGTACCCAACTCATACATAAAAAAAAATGAAGAAAATAAAAAATTCACAAAGCTTTAAACAAAAGAGGAAGAGAAAGAAAGGTTAAAACTTTAGGAGTTTTTAGTGCAAATATCATAAACTAACCTAGAAGATTTAAGTGAGATGGGTAAAAGAGAGACCAATAAATTTTATGGTTAATTTATAGACAAAAAGAACCTAATATATTATTTTATTTTAAAGTAAATATTCTAAAACTAATATAATATATCATATATAATATACAAATAAAAAAATGTAAAATTGGAGTGGGGGCCTAGAACCACACTGTGGTCTCATGTTGGCTCCGCCCCTGATTATAGGAACAACAAAGAGACACTGTATCAGGCAGGGGCTATTATAGAATAAAAGTTGTGAAAAATGGCTATTTTAGCACAAACCCACTTATAAGGAGAGGGGCCATATGTAACATATTGACAATACAAGTAAATTTAGTGAGAAAGTGGTGAACATGAATAATTTCTCTTGATGATGAAACTAAAGCCAATTGATGTGCTAAACAATAAACATAATAAGTATATGGATAATCATTCAGAATCAAAACTTGTTAAAAATAATAATAATAACCGGTTGTCTTTAATTTCCTATTTTCTTAAGGATACTTGTGAAAAAAAAAAAGATTTGATTGGTTGTTTCTTTCAATTTTTATTAATTATGTTGAGGGAATCCAAGAGTAACTTAGCCATTTTGTTAAGAAATTAGCCTTTTAGTTGGTGGGGGAAACGTAAATCCCTCCTTCTTTTTATTGTGGGGGGGCCACAAGCATTATTTTAATATATATATATATATATATATATATATTATCCTAAGTTGTCCAATGCAAAGCCCAATACAATATATATAGTATTTCAAAATTTTAGAAGGGCCGAAGCCCATGCAGGGCTAAGCATACCTCTGCCACTGCATATGTTTATCGGAACAACGAAGCCCCAGGCGAGATTTCTGTCCATTCTAGGAGAAACTAAGGCACATAGAGAGATGTTCAAAAGATGAGGTGAATACAAACCAAACGACTGCATGCACAAAGTACAATCAGATTCCTTGGGAAAAAAAAAGCACTATCGCGATTGGATAAAGAAAGACCGACTTCTCTTTGATTTTTTCATTTCAGAATTTCCTCTGCTGCTAAGGCCACCACTTGAAGACCCACCTCCAATTCTAACTCCACCATTCCCAGCAGCTTTGATCTGCTGCTGCTTAAAAGTTGGTCTGATCAGAAGTGCTTGGGTTCCAAAAGTCCCTGTAGTAAAATGGGGGTGTCCTTTGGTAACTATTGGCAGTAGCTGGTTTGGACTCCCCTGCTGTGAAGACTGTACTTCTGGAAAACACACAGACTAAATATTTCTCATCAGCACCATATCATCATCAAGTCTAGCATATTACTCATATAATTAGCCCTAAATGATCAGTATGAGAACACAAATTAGATGTGACCATTTTTATGTAAGGGTAATGTATTTTAATCAATTTTTCAATCTTTTTTATTTTATTTCGTTGAATTCGCTCATCCTGATTTAGGAATATTCTTTATTTCCAGATCTGAGCGTGACAGTAAGTTTAGGGGCATATGACCCAGTTAACATCATGAAGAAAGAAAACTGCGTCACGTACATATATATAGTGTCATCAGAAAAGATAAGAAGTGTGGCATATTCTTGGTTCAAAAATATCCATCCCAAACAAGGAAAATTGTAAAACTAAACTTATAAGAAATTATACCTCAATTCGGGTCAGCATGAATGGATATGTCCAAGCAAATTTTAATCCAAACTGATAGTAAGAATTAAGCTCGGACAATGTACAGTGAAGCTGAGCGCACTATAGCACAAACTCAAGTCACCAATTCTAGAAGCAGAGCTAATCCGTCCAAAAGATCTTGTGAAAAAGGATGATGAGCTCCTAAATTCTCTCAGATTGTTACACCTCACACCATGATCATAACAGAATTGTATTATAGAATAACCTATTCAGATTGTATAAATGTGTACAGTATTGATTCCTTCATTCAATTAAAAGTAAAAAAAATTCCCTCTTTCATTCATTTCTTCATGGTATCCAGAGCCCCCCTTGGAGAAGTAGAAAAAATTACCTCTTTCATTCATTTCTTCATGGTATCCAGAGCCACCCTTGCCTAACCATAATAACCAAGTAAACGAATTAACATATGGGCAAAATAAAAGAAATGAGATCACCAAAACAAATATACCTCTGGTAATCATCGATGCGATGTTTTCGAACCCTAGATTCTACTCTAGAAAGAACACCGCCATGATCCTCTTCATCTTGGACTTTAGAAGCCTCAGAAATCCTCACCATTCGTTCTGTGGGATTATGCTGATCTAGCCAAAACCCTGATGAATGATTGGATGATGAGATGACCAAGTACCCCTTCAGTTCTCCTATAGATGTGGTGTGGACGAGGGTTCTAGAATAGTGGTTTGGCGATTCAATATGACAGGATGGGATGAGTAAAATTGAAGCTGACAATAAAGGTTACTTGGGATGTATCCAAAGAAAAAAATGAAGGGAAATACTACTTTTCCTTCCTTGTTTTACTTTTCTCTCCTTCACGGCAGCCTGGTGGCCCATGAATCACGCTATGAACATGGTTACGTGGATGTTTCTCAAAATCACACTGTTTTTAATCAACGTTTTAATTTGATAAGGTTGGCATTTCTCCAATTCTCTCCCTCCTAGTCTTGGCGTAGTTCATGTAGAGATTTGACATTTCTTGGGTTTCATTATCTAAATTAATATTCAAAGTACCAGCTGTTACAAATAAACCTCTGAATTATAGCGTTAATGACACACGTTGTCTAGTATTGATGACCTATCATTTGGTTGTAATCCAAATCTCAGTTTTTGTTTTTTTCTTTTTGCCAAAGTTAGGCACGCTACAAGCCCTATATAAAGCACCCCAAGTTTATCATCATATCCTCCTCACCCAATTACAAGTTAATTAAGTTTATCAGCAAGAGCAACAGCAAGCCAATTAAGACAATTCCATGATGATGATGAAGAGCCAAGCAACTCTCCTCGGCCTCGCCACCTTGGCCATCCTCTTCTTCTCAGGTATAATATTATACAAACTTTGTTAGGTGATCAGATATCAATCAAAAGTTTATTTTTACAATTGTCTCTGTAATCTTTATTCTTATGATCACGTTGAATATGCAGGTGCACATGCAGCTAAAATCACTTTCAAAAACAAATGTTCCTACACTGTCTGGCCAGGAACCCTAACCGGTGACCAAAAACCTCAATTACCACTCACCGGGTTCAAGTTAGCAACGGGAATTAGCCGCTCTGTGGATGCTCCGTCCCCATGGTCTGGTCGCTTCTTTGGCCGAACCAGGTGCTCCACGGACGCCTCAGGAAAGTTCACTTGTGCCACAGCAGATTGTGGTTCTGGCCAAGTCTCATGCAATGGTAACGGCGCAGCTCCGCCAGCTACATTAGTAGAAATCACTATTGCGGAGAACGGGGGTCAAGATTTCTACGACGTTAGTCTTGTTGACGGCTTCAACTTGCCCATGGCCGTGGCTCCACAAGGCGGCACCGGCAAGTGTAAGGCCTCAACTTGCCCCGCCAATGTTAACAAGGGGGGC